CGCGGAGCGGGGGTGGCCCTCCCCGCCCAGACAGTCCCTATGGCTCCTAGTGCTCGAGCAAACCCAGGATCTTGACTTGCCCTCGGTGCCCACGCCTCAGGATGGCCGGCGGCAGAGACCCCTGCCTGACCACTCACACCATCCAGAAGGGCTGGAGGGGACCCCTTCCAGGGCTAAAGCCCACCCCCTTCCGTGCCAGGAGAGGCCGCGGCGGGGAGGCGAACCCAGGATGGAGGGTGCCAAGAGGAAGAGACTGCAGGCTTCATCTTGGGAGGGTTCAGAGTCCGTACCTCCCTCCCTGGGGCTGCCCATCAAAGCCCACTACACCCTGACCACGACATAGTTTGGTGGAAAACTGCATCCTCTCCGGAAAGAGCCCTTCCTGAACCTGAGTTTGATCCCCTGGAAGTGATGAAGTAAAATTCCTATATTATGGCGGGACAAGTTTAATGAAAACATTCTGGCTTTGAGGGGAAGACGCCCTCCCAGGAGGAGCCGGCTCTTCTCTCCCTCGCCTTTGAGATGCGGACATTCCGCCTGGACGTCTCCAGGAATGCTGCTCTAGGCCGTCTTTCTAAAATGCAAACTTCAGGAAGGTAACTCTTATCCCAAGAAAAAACAAATGGGGCGAATAGGTAGTTTGGAATTGGCTTGCCAAGGACAGACACAAATCCTAAATGTCTTCTCCACATATATTAGTAAAAAGGGTAAAAAGGGTTCAGCCGTCTAAACAGGAGACCTGGATTTGTTCTGTCTGCCAGAAATCCAATTTGAATCCAATCTCTTTTGTAACTGATGAGTTTTTTTGGTAACTACTTTGTAATTGAAGTATAGTTGATGTACAATATATAAGTTACAGGTGAACAACATAGTGATTCACAATTTTCAAAGGTTATATTCCATTTATAGTTATTATAAAATATGTAACCGATGGGTTTTGTATTAGTGTACCTGATTCTTGGAATTCTGGCATCTGTGTGTTGAGTGTATCCATATATGTGTATGTGTTGTAGATGTGTGGCACTGCCAAAATTAATTTGTACAAGCTCTATTTAATTGGCTTAAAGGGAATTAAGCGATTATATAAATACTCAGAAATATAAAAGAAACAAATCCAAATGATTTTCAGGATCACGTGATCTGGGATTAATTTTTAATGAAGACAAGCTTAAGCTCGTTGGTTTGCTTAATACAGACCTGTATCCAGGGTCATCAGCACCAAGCACGACAGTCTCACGGTACCTTGGTTTATTTACCAAAAGTCAAAGAAGGTGTTGTTTCTGTTGCAAAATTTGTCAGCAAGAAAAATAACTTGATATGAAAAAATGTTTAAGTAAATTAAATATAACTTAGATTGAATTTAACTGAGTAAATGAATTTTGTTATTAAAAATAAGCTGGTGCAAACTGGAGCATGATCTTCTCTCTCTGTTAAGAGAAGAAAGTTTTCTTAGACTATTAATCTACTTTTGATAACAGATTGTAAAGTTTAACTTACAGTTAATCTATTTTAACCTTCTGTATCTGCCTTTGAAATCTTTTATTGTCATCTGGTTAAGTGATTAAGTATTGTTTCTAGAGACCTATGCTCCTTTTCCACCAAATGTCTTTTAAAACCTTTTTGACATTTTCGACAAACTTCCCAAAGATCGAATTCTAACTGAAGTCTGTTTGACCTCTAACTGTGAGGTCTCCCAAAGGCCCCGGAGCACCTCAAGGGGATGTCCTCTCCTTATCGAAGAAACATGTTAGGCTAATTAGGGTTAAGGGAAACATTGTTAAGTGAGTGATTAACCGTCTTAGGTTATATTGTATAGGTAAATTTTATTCATATAGATATTCTAGAAATTATTTGGAACTCTTAAAAATCTCTTATCTCCTGGTAAAATATTATCAGTCATAATTCTAGTTATTACCTTAAAATGTCGTATATCACGACAGTGACCAAGTTTCTCTGTCAGTTGCACTGCAATCAGATCCTGAACGATGCCTTTTAAAGTCTTCTGTCATTTATTCAGATACTGTTTTACTCAGAAGCTTTTGCAAAAATGCTGGATCTTCAAGAAGATTCATAGAAAGGACTTTGTGACAAGTACAGATTTCTGATCACTTTCAAATCACACTGCTGAACTGGGTAAGAAAGTAAAGAATTCTAATGGAAAGCCTGCTGGCTTCATAGAACTGAACAGAAGATCAAGCACTGGTCTCATAGGGCTGAGTAAACTGATGAGCGTGGTTACAGTTTGGGGGGTTTTTGTCTGGAATATCACTGGCTTTTAATCTGTGTTTTCCAGATATAAGGAGACCCTTCCCCCTCAAGCTAATCACTACTTACCATAAATTACACCTTTGTAAGCAGAACTGAAACATTCATCTTTTCTCTCTACCTGATCCCTCCAGAAACTGGAAACTCTTAAGCTCCCAGCAGTCTTGCCAGGTGAATAAGGCAGGCCACCTCCTGACAGGTGCAAAAATCTCAAGAAAAATATCTGGAGGGCCACCAGGAGAGAGGAACCTACCCGAACGTGCAGGTGTCCCAGACAGAATCTGGCAGCACGCCGTCGCTGTGGATTTCCCAGCCCTAAGAGGCCTTTTAAAAGTTCAATTTGAGATTCTTTGTAAAAAGTTCCAACACGGCCAACTTGTAAGACCCTGTATGATCAGTTACATTTATGTAAGTAATCAGGCCCATTTTACTGAAACCAGTCTTATTTTTGCAAGTTAATTAGCCTAATTTGGCTATCTAGTAGAAATGGGTGTAATTTTAGATAGAAAAAAATTGTTTCAGTGAACATTAACTTGTTGTCTTTAGAGTTTTTGTTTTTTTGTATTTACTGCCTTAGAACAACCTCCCAGATGGCTCCTTGTTGCTGTCACATCATTGCAAAGTTTAATTGAAGTATATTAAAAGGACATTGTCAGTTTGCTTCTGAAGTTTATCACAGTATCTGTCTTTGAATGGAGGTCAGATGTCTCACGACCAGCCGCCAGGCGATCGTGCGTACTGGAAAAGGCATCAGAGGAGGGACTCTGCACCAGAGTGGAAGAGCCCACTCCAGGCCTCCTCTCCTGAATGAGCGGCAACTCCTGTTTCTGACACCCAGCCTCAGAGCACTGAGACCAGCACCACCAGACCAGGACAGGACAGTGGCTGACCCGAGCTGTCAGACCAAGCTTGTGTACTCATCACTTTGATAATTGTTCACACTTTTGCTTTATGAACCAAATGTATTTCTCTTGTGGGCTCAGGGTCACCTACAGGCAGTTTTGGAAACAGCCCCCACCAATCTGTCTTTAATGCAAGCACACTGGGTTTGATCAGTTTTCCAATGGTATGACCATTTGGCTGTGGTATTTGTTCCTTCACTTGAAATAGATGTCATTAACCATATAGAGGCTTTTAAAAAATTCACGCAGCAAGCTCTGAATGACAGGCATCAAGCCATTAGTTTGTTCAGTTTGGAAGTCTCCACCATGAGAAAAGTGGTCCCATAGGACCGCACGGCCCTCGGTGTTCTAACCGCCTCCCGGGGGGACACAAGCCGTGATGCATGCACTGAATGCTGGGCTTTATAGCTGATAAGTCTTCTAACGTAACTCAGCTCTGAATGGTCCTCTCCCAGTTTAGGGGAAATACCAGGAAAATGGTTTGGTTCAGCAGCTTCTTGGCTTAAACCTTTACCAATAACACTGTTACGCCTATTGTCAGTTTTGGTTACTTTGTGTAACACATAAAGTGATAGTTTCTTGCCTTCAATGCTGTGTATCACCTACTCCTATTAAGATGATCTCTAAACAACTTGAAACTGCTGATTGCATCTACAGTTCTCCATAACTTAGTGAGCATGCACAGTGCACATGCAAAGTAAAAGGGGCCTAAGTCCTATTGGACAACATGGAATCACTATCAGTCCTTGCCAGACATCGTGCTCATACAACCCTCTAAAGGGAAACAGAGAGCCGGGCTGTTAAGACCTACCATCGAGGTACATGGAAGACCCAGGGCAGGGGGGCAGCCGCCCCGCCATCGAGGGACGTGGAAGACCCAGGGCAGGGGGGCAGCCGCCTCGCCATCGAGGGACGTGGAAGACCCAGGGCAGGGGGGCAGCCGCCCTGCCATTGAGGGACCAAATACTTGACCACCTAATGCTCTCCATCAAAAGATTAACGGTCAAAGGGGAAACTGATGAAATAAAATTTTATAGTAAGACAAGAAAAAATTTTAACATGAAATTTTCCTCTGCCTCTTCAGGTCTCCTCCCTCCTCTTCAGTGCTCGGGTGCGGAGTGTGTGGGCGTGAGCCAGCCCTCCTGAGTACTTAACATTCCTTCTTTATCTTGTAACAGGGCAGGACGACCCAGCACCTGATAGCTTCTTAGGAGACAGCCCTTTCTTCTCAGTCTTGTAGGGGTCACAGTGGCCCGTTGCTCACTCTGAGTGTGCAGATCTGGGTTGTTAAACTGTCAATACCTTATTCGACATATAACACCTTGTCTCAAAAAAAACCACTATAATTGTGCTTTGACCTCCACTGTGCGGAACAGTCCTCTGAGCTTTATGAAAGACTGTCTCCCAGATTATAATCCTCAGGGTGGCTCAAATAAAATTTTCCATTCTTTCTTAGATTGACTATTAATTTATTTTCATCAACAGAAGTTACTTTGATAACCGACAGCAATGCAAAAGTGCTTCTTGTCCAAACCCAAGCAAGTGAACCTGCCCGGGGGTGCGCTACTCGTCTGACAGGAGTACCGCAGCCAGGAGCCTGAACAGCAGAGGCACGGCTCGGGGGCCGACGCCACACAGGGAGCTGTGGGCAGCGAGGGCTTCTTCCGGGGCCGCCCCTCTGTGCTCGCGCGTCTCTTTGCTTGTCTCTTTGTGTGAACAAACTTCCTCTTCTCCTAGCAACACCAGTCAGATTGGATCAGGATCCATCAGGGGCCTTGTTTGAACCTAATCTCCTTGTGCAAGGTCCTTCCTCCAAGTGCAGTCACATTCTGAGGTGCTGGGGGTCTGGGCTTCACCTTGAACTCAGGGGAGACACAGTTCAGCCCCTCCCTGGAGAGCCCGGTTTTGCCTGTTCACAGTTCACATCACTGCCCACCCCCCAGCTTCCTAAGTGTGTCTGTCGTGGGGCTGCTCCCCGAGTGGTCCTAACGCCTGCCTGGCCCTCTCCAAGGGTGAGTGAGCTCTTTCACACGTGCTCCTTCTCCGCCTGCATGAGCCACAGTTCACTCTTGGGAAGCCGTTCCCTAACAACCCACTGGCCACCGCAAGTCGCAGGAAGCCGCGTGTGGGCCCCAGGCAGGCCTTCGCTGGTGGTATCTCAGCAGTGGCTTCTCCCCCAGGGTGTAGACTCAGTGCCCAGCAGTGGCTTCTCCCCCAGGGTGTAGACTCAGCGCCTCTTGCAGACGCCAGCTGTCTTGAGGCAGCTCAGCCGTTCTGCCAGCCTTCTCTGTCCTGCTTCAGTTGTATTTTCGCTTACGGCTTCCTACATCTAAAAGTCCTCTTACTGCACCATTTATGCCACACCTGCACACGTGCCTGCTCTGTGCCGGGCGCTTCTCTAGGCCCTGGGGACCCGGCCCCTATCTCCTTACCTTCTGCTGGGGAGGGGCAGCCACAGACAACCCTCCTCCGGTGTCAGGTGGTGAGTGACAAGTTCTGTGAGGAACAACAGCGAGTGGAGACAGATGGGCTATTTCCAGCAGGGTGGCAAAGGACAGTCTCTCTGAAGGGCTGGTGTTCGAGCAGAGCCTAAGCAGGGAGCAAGCACCCTGGGCAGGTGCCAGGGCCCCGGAAGGAATGAGCTTGGGGAGTCTGGACAATGCCCAGGAGGGCAAGACGAGCCACTGGACAGAAGAGATGCTGGCTAAGGGGCTATGGGCCAGGACAGGACACTGGATTTAAGCCTAAATGTGACTGCCAGCGCCCAGAGGGCTGCGCTGGTTTGCCTCAAACTCTGCTGTGAGAGAGGCAGACAAGAGGGGTCAGGAGAGCTGCTGCGGGTCCGGCAGGAGGGTGACAGTGGCTGCGGAGGAAGTGAGAGGTGCTCATGCTGGGGACGCGCTTTGAAGCTTGAGGCACGAAGCAAAGGGAAGAGTCAGGGTGGCTCAAGTGTGGGCCAGAGCAGCACCTCTGATGAGATGCTCTCTACCAAGCGGAGACAGTGTGGGGCCAGGTGAGGTGGTGGGTGCTGAGATGCCACCTGGACGGCCCAGAGGAAATAGCTCTGTTTTCTGGAGTCAAGAGCACAGGGGTGACATTCATGGCAACAACCAGGTGCCTAGGAGTGGAAGTGGAGTTCGAGGCCTGGCCTGAGCCTGGCCTGCAGCCATGAGGCCAGGAAAGGGAAGAAGCCAGGGGTCTGCGGGCCAGCACCAGGGCTCGAGTGCAGGGGCGGGGGGTGCCCATGAATGAGCAACCTGATCCCCAGCTGAGGAGTGGAGGGGACAAATGCCCCACTGGAGGGCTGCTTCAGTGTCCACTCTGCCCCCGGCTGGAGGCACTGGCTTCTCCCACATGGACTGGGCTCCTTGACTCTGTGGCCCCCAATTCTCTCTCCCCTCCTGGGAGCAGGGAGCTGTCCCCAACCCTCTCCCTCAGGACTAGGACCTGTCCCAACCCTGACCCTCTCCCAGGACTGGGAGCTGTTCCAGGACCCCCAGGGCTCCTCCACTGGGCAGGCCTCACCAGTGGCACTAAGACCAAGAGGTGAGTCAGGAGGACCTGGGCAGACCAAGGTCACTGCCCCCCCTTCACGTCCCCCTCCCCAAGCCTTCATGTTTTATTTCTCAAGCTGTTCAGAGGAAGTTGTTTCTTGGACCCCCGGGGATCCCGAGGACCCTCTTCTCTCTCTCTCTCCCCATGTTCACCCTTGCTAGAGCCACTCCCTGCATGTAAATAGGAGGCCCGGCCCCACCCTAGACAGAGGGACAGAGGGGGAGGGGCGCCCTGGGTGGTCCCCACGGCCCACAGCCTGCCCGCTGGTTCCTGTGCCCACTGCCTTTTCCTCCTCATCTTCTAGGGCAGGATCGCAAAGCATGGTCTGGAGCCTCACCTGGAACCTGGAAACGCAAACTTGCCAGACTGCCGGACTCAGAAACTCGGGTGGACCCTGGGAATCCACACTCCAATGTGCCCTCCGGGTCCAGATCAGGCGCTGGCAAACTGTGACTCACAGGCCAAATGCAGCCCAGGCCCACCTGTTCCTGTAAGGAAAGTGTTCAGGAACGATCACTCCACTCACTCAGGTACAGGCCAGGGGCGAGCCGGTGGACAGGGTTCCAGGGATCAACGTGGTTGCTGGCCTTCCAGGGGCAGGTGGGGAACCCCTGCCCCCGCCACACACAGTCCGTTCACAGGGGCAGGCTCCTGTCCTCTGATCATCGCCTCCACCCTGAGGCTGGGAGGGAGCCTCATGGGTCTGGAGCAGCAGTCCACAAGCCGGGCCCCTCCAGACCAGGCAAGCGAAGACTCCGCACAGAGCTGCCGGCAGCCACAGGCGAGGGCACACCGCGCGCTGGCCCACACCACACACGTGCCCTTCCTGTATGTTCTGAACCCGACAGTTGTCAAGGGAAGGGAGCCCCTCATAAGCCCTCCGAGAAAAGCACAGGCACTCCCACGTGAGGTCCCCAGCCCAGCGCTGCAGGTGCCGGGGGGCCGCGGGTCCCCCAGCTCCTGTGCCACTTACCCTTCCACACGCCCGCCCTGCTTACAGATACTCATCCATTCACCCTGGTTCCGACCCCGAGGCAGAGGGTGATGTTCCTGTTCGTCAGCTGAGAGAACCGGGGCATGGAGAGGGTCCCCCAGCCGAGGGGCAGCTGTGGGGGCTGGGGACACCGTGTGGGGGCCGTGGCAGCTGTATGGAGGCAACAAACACCACTTCAAACAGCTGGAGTGGAAACCGAGGGCTGTCAGGGAGGAATGCTGGAATAAACCCCCTTCAGTGTGCTCGCGCACCTGCGTTATACGTTAACGAGGTCCCCTTGGAAGGCAGGGAATGCCTGCTCGCCAAAAAAAGTTTCCTCCTGGCGCCAGCAAGGTAATTCCTCAGGAGATAACACCCCCTTCTCAATCCTGTAAGGGGTCACAATGACCACTACTCCCCTGGGCGGACTATGCAAACTGTCAATAAGTTACTTTGATGTGCCACTGAGACAGGAGGGAAGGGGGCAGGGCACGGCCATTCAAGGAATGACACAGCAATTAGCACCAAGATGGTGGAAAATCTAACTCCCGTAGGCTTGAAGTCCAAGATGGCGGGAGACCTGACTTCCAGCAGACCTTGACCTTTATTATATGCTCACTGTAATTATTAGCATGGTCAGTGGCACTCCCATAGGCGCAGAACGGATCCAAGGCTGACCATAAAAGGTCACAAAGCAGGCCGTGGCCCAGTTCCTAACCCTTCCCCAAAGTGTCTGGAATAACCTCCCACCTGTTAGCAGAGGCAGTGCCCGAGCCCAGGAGAACCGACGGCCCCAGCCCTCACGCCGCGCTCCCTCCGAGTGACAGGCCGCGCTGTCTCTGGCAAGTGTGTCTGAGTAACCGTGGCTCGCTCAGACTCTTCCCGCGTGAAGCCAAGGACCCACCTCGGCGGGGCGCGCCCCAGAGACCAGCCAGGACCTGGGACATGGCCCTCCACTCGTCCCGCACTTTTTTCCTGTATCATCACCGTTTCCTCAAAAGCTTACATAACTGCGCTTTGGCCTCTAACGGGCAGAAGAGTCCTCACAGTTTCCTGAAAGACTGCCTCCCGGGTTATAATCCTCAGACTGGCTTGAATAAAATTTCACACTTTTTTCTTAGATTGACTATTGATTCTCGTTTTTCCTTGACAGGAAGCTGGGGAACAGAGCAGGAACAGGGTGCGCCTGGGGCACAGGGAGAGGAAGCCTCAGAAGCCGACCCGATGGGGCTGGGGAGGGTCTCGGGGGACAGGGGCCGGGGACAAGAGTGAGAGCATCTTTGGCAAAGGGGCCAGTCTGAGCTGAGTGTGGCGGAGCCCAAAGGGTCCCCTTAGCTCAGGGCAACTCGAGAGACCTCCAGGACACTGCTGCCCCATGCACCCGGCCCGCGTCCCCCCGCTTCTCCCGGGCTCACTGGTGGGCGCAGACGCTGAGACCCGGGGCTCGCCCACCAGGAGGGAGGCGCCTAGGCCTCCTGCCGCCGGAACTCAGGCACTTGCCCCCAGAGGTCCAAAGCAGGCTCTGCCAACCGGGAGGGCACTACTGAGAGGGCCCCTTCCTGGCCCCCTCACCGCATTTTAGTGAGGTTTCCCAGTCCTTTTGTCATAACCTGGTATCTGCGACTAAGACGGTCCCCTGAGTTCTGCGAGCCACTTTAGCAAATGAGCTGAACCTGAGGGGGGTCGTGGAGCCTCTGAGTTACAGACAGCGAATCAGAGGCGCAGGTGACAGCCTTGGTTTGTAGCTGGGGTCTGAAGTTGGGGGGCAGGAGATGGCCTTGTGGGGCTGAACCCTAACCTGTGGGGGCTGAGATGAGCTCTCAGACACCCTGCTGGGGCCCAAGAGCTGCTTGCTGGGGGGCACGGGAGCCACCCCCACTCCAGGATCTGGCAGAGGAACCCGAAAGAGACCAGAAGTACGTTTCGCACACCAAGACTGTGCCGCACGTGTGACAAAGGGCGCTGGGAAAATTAAGCTGATGTCCCCCCTCCCCTACAGGCCCAGCTCCCCTGCAGGCGCACCAGTGCGGCCACGTCCTGAGGCTGGAACACAGCCCCTTGTCCCACGGGGTGGTGTGGCGCAGCCAGACCCAGAGCCAGAGCCTCAGTCCCGGGGAGCTGATGTTGACCATGAGCGGGGTCAGCTGGGTCTCTGCCTGCCTGGGGTCCAGTCCCAGGAGACCTCGGCCAGCCCGGGGCCGGGATGGGTCACTGGACACACATTTCTGCTGGAGGAAAGTGTGAACTTGCGTGGCATAGCACATTTTCAGCAAAACAAACAAACAAACAGTCCCCAGAGAGGACAGGACTGGCAGCTGAAGGCCCTGACCAGCTGGATGGGAACATCTGTCATCCCCGAGTGGAAACCAGTGGTGCCTCCCCGCACCACTACCCCCACGCCCCCCATGGCGGGAAGCTCCGACTAGCTGAACCAGATCGGCGCACGGATCAAACATCCTCACCCTTACCTCACCAACTCGGAAGTTAATCTGATACGGTCGCAAACCCAAGTATAAAGGCTTTTTAAAACTACAAAGTTTCTAGAAAAAAACAGAAGAACTTCTTTGTGACTTGATGTTCAGCAAAGATTTCTCAGGAAACTCAAGGAACTAACCATAAAATAAAACTTTTACACTGATAAAATAAACATCAAAATCTCAAACTACTGTTCATCTAAAGACACTTAAAAAAATGAATAGACCACATATAAAAAATAACTCAAAACCCCTAGGAGAAAACCTCGGGGGAAGCTTTGTGACCCTGGACTTGGCGGTGAGTCCTTGGCTGTGACATCAAAAGCACAGACAACAGAAGAAAAAAGAGACAAACAGGACTACATCAGACTTAAAAACTTTCGTGCATCAAATGATGCAACCAACAGAGGGAAAAAGCAACCTACAGAATCAAAGGAAATATTTGCAAATCATGATAGAGGCTAATACCCAGAATGTATAACGGCCCCCTGCAGCTCAGCGACAATCATGTAACTCAATTAAGAAATGAACAGAGGACCTGGATAGACGTTTCTCCAGATTACATACAAATGACCCACGTGCACATGGAAAGGTGCTCGGCATCGCGGATCATCAGAGGAGTGCAAATCGTAACTGCAGGGAGACACCAACTCACACCAGTGGATGACAGCGACCAAGCAAACAGAAAACAAGTGCTGGCGAGGATGCAGACAAACTGAAAGCCTGTGCACGCGGGGTGGGGTGTTAAAGGAGCAGTCACCATGGGAAGCAGTATGGAGTTCCCTCAAAAAACACAAATAGAGCCGGCAGGCGGCCCGCCAACCCCACCTCTGGTGCACATGCACGAGGACCAGGAACCGCGTCCTGAGGACGTACTGCAGCCATGCTCACAGCAGCACTATTCACAGCAGCCACGAGGTGCACGCACCCCGCGTGCCCACGGGTGGATGGCAGGATAACGTGGCCCGTCCACACAGCAGACTATTACTCAGCCTTGAAAAGGAGGGGAATTCTGCACATGTTGCAACATGGATGAGCCATGAGAATGTTATGCTAAACGAGGTCAGTCAGTCACGAAAAGCTAAACGCTGTGTTAGCCTACTTACACGAGGTCTCTAAAGCAGACACACTTAGAGCAGGAGGTGCCAGGCGCTGGGGTAGGAGGAAAGGGAGGTGGTGTTCAATGGGGACGGAGGTTCAGATTTGCAAGATGAGAAAGTCCTGGGGATCTGTTTCACAATAATGTAAGTACACTTAACATCTTTCAATGGTTACGATGGTAATTTTTGTTTGTTTTTAGCACAATAAAACGAACACACAAGGATAGATCGGGGTAAAATGTTTCCGAAACACGTATCTGACAAAGGACTTAAATCCTAAACAAAGAACTCCTGCAACTCAACAGTAAACACACAAACAAGCCCCACTGAATGGGCACGAGACTTGAACAAATACTTCCTAAAGGAAGACACGGGTAAAATGCAAGATAAATGATGAATAAAAGGCGAGTAACTCCTCAGGGGGGTGAACAGAATTCTAAAGAACACGGGAATGGAAGACGCGAAGCAGCCACTACTTCGGAAAACCCGGTGGTGTTCAGAGCTAAACCACCGTCTGCTCTGCGACCCTGACCCAACCACTCGGAGGCTTCCATCCAGGAGAGATGAAAACACACACCTGTGAAGACTTGTTCGTGGCAACTGTACTCATGATGGGCGCAAAGTGAAAACGACCCACGTGCCCATCAGAAGGAGAGAGGATAAACAACTGGTGTGTTTGTACAGTG